AATGTCTAGCAAAAAGAAGGAAAAGGCAATGAAAAGAAAAAGAAACGAAACAGAAAACAATGTGAAAGTCAACTTTAGTATTACATCTGTAAGCAGGAGGAAATTATGAAAAAAAGAAGGGGAAATGCTGGAAAAATGTAGGTTGCGGTATTGACTGGTAAAGAAAGCTTGGAGCGGAAAGCTGTAAACCTGCGTAGTAATTGTTTGGTACATAACTAGTGCAAGAAAACGGGGGTTCACTTAGAAGGACCAAGGGAAATGGAAAGGTTAACGGAAAAGGAAAGAATGACAAGGTAGAACATCAAGAAGTCACCATGGAAACAGAGAGGATAGGGAAGAAATAAGGAAAGGAAAAGAAGGAAATGTAGGGAGCATGAATTATAGGAGAACGTTGCGTGTCTCACAAGGTTAGCGAATTATGGACAGAAGTTCGGCCTCTGAAGGGACTCGAACCCATACTTGTAGCATCCGGGCAAAGTGCCGGTTCGAGTTCCGTCCCAGGCCGTATTTTTGACAATAACTCTACAAATGAAACATAAAAATGAAGTTTTTAGTTGCCAAGAGAAGCATAGAAGAGCTAAGGATAGCAAATTTTGAAGAAAGAGGAAAGATAGCATGAGATTAGGTCTTTTTGACCTAACTCCAGGGAGAACTCTACTGCAGTAATCTCGCTGTCAAAGCAATCAGCTAGTGGTTGTGACTCGTGCGAGTAGAGAACCGATTCTCTACGCTGTTCACTAGATTACTAGGTGGCTGTTTGTCGTGAGAGGTTCGCGCAGAAGAGTTGATGATTTGATGATGACGACGATGCAACTCGTCTTTTTTCGGAATCGTAGCATTGAAGTGTGCCGTCTTAATGTGCCCCCGCCTGGAAAATCGCCTCTAAGCACGCTCGGGCGTTGTTTTCTATCGGGACTTTAAAGCTACAGCGCTCGCCCCCCTCCCGGCCAGTCACAATCACCGTGTGAATGCTCCCATCATTTTCATCAAATCGCTGTCTGTTTACATTAGTCACTTTACCCAAAGGCAATATGTTGAACAGCAGCTTCGAAATAAAGAGGATTACCGTACCAGTGAGATACGGTTGCTCATGGTAACAGACGTTACTTTTTATTTGAATTCCTCGAAAATTAAGTCTCCCTCAATAAGTCTTCTTCAAACAAAACTAGAAAGTGGATGGGAGGTGTTTTCTATCTGTTGAATGTAAGTGTTGTAAATGAAAAGCCATACCCCATGTCCTCGTGTTTTCTTATGACCACGATCTTCTGATGGGCGATCGGACATCGTATGTGAAGGCGCCGTGTCAAGTACGTTCACCTGAAAGAGCATATAAACTTAGGAAACCGGAAAGATTCATTCTAAGCAGGAACTAGTGCAAGTTCAGGTGGGGGAGGCAGAATTCCCACGTACTTAGAAGCGTAAAAGCTCAGGCTTCGACTTATTCACCTAGGGTACCGGATCAAGTTTTGGAACAGCACTCGCCCAGGCACACCTAGCCTTCCATCCTTTCGGGTCTGTTGTGGTACCGTATTTGTTTGAGGGAATAAAAGCACTCCTCCGGACACCGAGTGATCCTCAAAACACTGGGTAGACACCCTACGCATTCAATCGCAAGACGACTCGGCGTAGAGGTCGGAAGTATTGGCTTTTCCCAAAACCAGGGCCAGATCTACGCCGATCGAAAGTTTGTCTTTAATCTTTCATACGAATGTGAGGAGCAAATCCAGCAGAGTGGCTAGATGAACAGTCGACACCGTCGTTATACACTGAACTTCGAAGTCAAGCCAATCCTTTTCTCTCTGGTCCGCTGATTGGCACCAGAATGCCCGAAAGTTTGGGATCATTATGGTTAAATAATTGTAATAAAATTAATTAAATTAACTGGCACAATGAAAATAATATCAGTAGAAGCTGGCGCGTCTCAGGAACTTCCCTATCCCAGAGTTAAGCCCTTTCCATGCCGGGTGTTGAACCTGCAACTCATACCGATTTCTTGCTGAGGAAAGATAACGTCGTTATATTGCAAATAGGAAAGGAACCCTCCCTATGTACCTTGGACCCGATGACGCTGAGCCGGTGAGCTATAGCCCCCTGCCACTTTGCACTATAAAATAAACTTTGGGTCTGTGAAGGCGATAGCTGCGACGAAGGCACTGAAGCAGCAAAGGGCAGCTATTGTTTTTCCTCACCCCGTTTTTTCTGACAACAAAAATTTGATGGCTGGAAACTTGAAAAGCTAATTGAATAAACAATGTCCCTCGTTTTTGATCATTTATTTCTTCGTATTTGGTGCATCCTATCAATAGCTAATGGGGCTGCATTCATTTATGATGAGCAACCAGTTGTTCCAATGGATGTATGCAACAAAAAGAAAATATATAGCCATCAGATACTGTGTGCACTTGTTTCTCTAAGACACCGTAAAAAGTGCTGGATACGGTAGGTTATTGTAGATTGTCGAGGGTTGAATACGGTGGGAATACGCTAGTGTGCCTTCAAACTTCACTGGAAGCCGAGCAAACGTAATTCCTTCAATTTTGAACGATTCCAGTAATCTTTCCATCATAACTTTTTTCTGGATAAAAACTGGCTATTTATAAATTTGTGATGGATACGACAAAATCTGGGAATTGAAGGTTGCCATATACATCAGCCGATATAGCTAAGACTATATCCGCCATCTGTCAGCTTTGCTCTTAAGACATTTTTCATTGGTAATGGAATTGGCTCTGGTTCAGATGGTTCAGTGGGTACACGATGTGCAGCTAACAAACATATGTCCAGGGGTAAATGGACCGGAATAGGGAGTTAAATCCAGGGCCCATACCTACCCCTACCAAATCATCCTTTTGCCCTTTTAGAGTGAGTTAGTTGCCCCTTACTTGTCTGGGAGGAAGGAAAGCATCGACTCTTAGTCGGTTAGTCCAGTGACTGACCGTAAGGACCAAATATGTTTACGAACGTATCAAATTAAAGAAAAGGGTACCAAACTCCACTCAGAGATGGAATTGATAGAAGTCTACTCGTGCCATCAAAGGGTCCAGTGGCACCAGCCAAATCGCAAGTGTTTCGTGTCAATTTTCT